TAAACCACAGTCACCTGCTGTCACAGGTGTGGAGGCCAGAAGTCGGGTCACGGTGTGGGCCGGGCTGGCCTTCGGGGGAGGAGGGAGGATGTGTTCCGGTCTCTGTCACGGGCTTGTAAACGGCCACCTTCGTCCTGTGTCCTTTCACATCCTGCCTCTGTGTCCGGATGTTCTTTTTTTTTTTTTTTTTTAAAGGCTACCAGTCAGACTGGATTTGAGTCCACACTAATGACCTCACTGCCACCTCCTCGCCTCTGTAAAAGCCTTCTCTCCAAATAGGGTCACATCCTGGGGTCACGGGTTAGAACATCAACCGATGAATTTTAGGGCCCACAATTCCACCCGTAACAGGTTGAGCGCATGTGCCCCGGAGCCCAGCAGCTGGGTCTAATCCTCGCTCTGCCACTTCCTAGATGGTGGCTGAGACAGGCCACTTCCCCTCTCGGGGCCTCAGTGTTTGCGTCCATAACATGGGAGACCATAGAACCTCTGTTGTAAGATACTTGTGAAAAGTTAATGCATTAATATAGTTAATGTGTTTAGAACTGGGCCTGGCATATGGTAAGCACTCATACATGTTAGTTGTTGTTATGGTTATTATTGTCAGAAGCATGACACTCGGTTGTGGCATCGCCTCCTCCAGGAAGCCCTCCTGATTGCCCCCGGTTCAATCAGGCTGCCCTCTGGGTTTCCTCAGAGCCCTCTGTGACCTTGTTTAGAGCACATCTGGCCCAAGATAGGGATTTTGAAAGCAAGAACATTCTATGAAGTGGGCTTTTTCCCTTCTTTCCCCTCATCCAGATGTACAGTTGGATCACCTGAGCCTCCTGAAGCAGTTTGAACACCTGGATCCTCAGAATCAGCACACGTTCGAGGCCCGAGACCTGGAGCTGCTGATCCAGACGGTAGCGTGAGCGGGGAGGGACAGGCAGAGGCTGAGGGAGCTTTGCGGAGGGGGAGAGGGGAGCAGAGCCCGGGACACAAGCCCGCTCACCTCTGCCTGGCGTTCTCTGAGGTCGGCAGCTGAAGAGGGCCTGGTGGTGTCTAAAAACCCTTCCCAGAGTCTCTGCAGGAGAGCAGAGGTGCAGGCAGCAGGGGCTCAGTTCCACCAAGACCTGGTTTCAAATCCCTCCTCGGCTTTGTCTTTCCCATGTGCCTTGGGGTGCGGGCTGTTCCTTTGTGCCCTTGTGGTAGGCAGAGTAATGGCCCCCACCAAAGATGTGCCCCCCGCCCTGCTGGTGTCGCTCAGTTGGTTGGCGTCGTCCTGCACACTGAAGGGTTGCCAGTTTGATTCCTGGTCAGGGCACATGCCTGGGTTTCAGTTTTGATTCCTGGTGGAGGGCAGGCAGACAAAAGATGTTTCTCTCTCTCTCTCTCTCTCTCTCTCTCTCTCTCTCTCTCATCTCTCTCCCTTTCTCTTTCCCTCTCCCTCCAAAAAATCAATTCAAAAATCTTTAAAGCCCAGCCTACATGGCTCAGTGGTTGAGCTTTGACCTAGGAACCAGGAGGTCCTGGTTCAATTCCTGGTCAGGGCACATGCCCAGGTTGCGGGCTCAATCCCCAGTGTGAGGCGTGCAGGAGACAGCCAATCAATGATTCTCTCTCATCATTGATGTTTCTATCTTTCTACCTCTCCCTTCCTCTCTGAAATCAATTAAAATATATATATATATATTTTAATCTTAAAAAAAAAAAAAAAGGATGTCCCACCCTCTTCCATGGAACCTGTGGATGTGTGACCATTTCAGGCAGAAGGGATTTTGCAGACGTGACTAAGTTGAGGGTCTTGAGCTGGTGGGATGAGCCTGAGTCACCCAGGTGGGCCCCAGATCTCATCACAAGGGCCCTTGAAAGAGGGAGGCGGAAGGAGATTTGAGTACAGGTCTCGGCTGCAGTGTGACCCCTGATGCCAGATGCTCCCTGCTGGCTTTGAAGGTGAAGGAAGGAGCCACAGCATGGAATCCGGCTCTAGACGCTGGAAAAGGCAAAGAAACAGATTCTCCTCTAGTCTCTGGAGGGAGCACAGCCCTGCCGACACCTCCAGGCCAGTGGAACTCAGTTCAGGCCTCTGGCCTCCAGCCTGTAGGATGATACATGTGTATTGTTTTAAGCCACCGAGTCGATGGTAATGTCACAGCAGCCACCGGAACACGTACATCCTCCTCTGAGAAACGGGACCTGCAGCCCCGCCCATTGCCAAGGGCAAGTGTGGGCGGGATGCCCCTGCCTCTCCCTGCTCACTGCCCTCCTGTGGGGACAGAACCACCCCGCAGCCTGGCCTGGGCCCTGCTTTCCTGGCCGCCTGGAGCGCCATCTAGTGGCCGCAAAGATAATAGCAGCGGCTATTTGTGTCCAGCCCAGCACTTGGCTGTTTTTGCCACTTGTTTCCAGAACATTCGAGAAACTGTCAGCTTTGCTCCAGCCCCACCGTCACTCCCTTGGTCTCAATTCCTGTCGGCTGCCTCTCATCACTGCTTCCTCACCGGGCACCTTGCTTCTGCCTCCCATGCTTGCCAGCAGGGTTTCCCAGCTCAGCCCTCTTGACATTTGGGGCTGGATGATTCTTTTTTTTTTTTTTTTTTTTTAAATATATTTTATTGATTTTTTACAGAGAGGAAGGAGAGGGATAGAGAGTTAGAAACATCGATCAGCTGCCTCCTGCACGCCCCCCAGTGGGGATGTGCCCGCAACCAAGGCACATGCCCCTGACCGGAATCGAACCCGGGACCCTTGAGTCCACAGGCCGACGCTCCATCCACTGAGCCAAACCGGTTCTGGCATGGATGATTCTTTATTGTGGGGGCTGTTCGTGCATTGGATAATGTTTAGCCGCATCCCTGGCCTATGTCCACTAGATCCCAGGAGGATCTAGACATTAGACAATGGACTTTAGACATTGTCCATTGTCTCCTGTGGGCCACAGTGGTCCTGGGATGGGAACCCCAGCTATACCGTCTATTCCCCACATGACAGCTGCATTAGCTTCCTATTGCTTCCGTATAACAACCACAAGCGTAGTCGCTTAACACGAATGTATTATTCAGTGTAGGTCAGAGGTCGAGAAGGGTCTTCCTGGGGCTTCCCTAACACATTGCTACAGACTCGGTGGCTTAAAACAGCAGATATGTGTCCTCTCACAGTTCTGGAGGCCAGACGTCCAAAACTGGTATCACTTGGCCAAAGCCAAGGTTTTGGCAGGGCTGTGCTCTCTTCAGAGGCTGTCGGGAGAAACCTGCTCCTTGCTCTTCCAGCGTCTGGAGGCTGCCAGCATTCCTTGGCTTGCAGACACATCACTCCCGTCTCTGCCTCCACGGCGTTCTCCCCAGGTCTCTCTGGGACTTTTCTGTAGCTTCCTTATAAAGAAACCAATCATCGGATTTAGGGCCCATCCTAATCCAGTAGGACCTCATTTTAACTGATTACATCTGCAGAGATCCTACTTCCAAATAAGGTCACGTTCTGAGGTTCTGGGTGGACATGAGTTTTGTTTTGTTTTTCCAATATATTTTTATTGATTTCAGAGAAGAATGGAGGGAGAGGGAGAGGGAGAGGGAGAGGGGGAGAGAGAGAGAGAGAGAGAGAGAGAGAGAGAGAGAGAGAGAGAGAAAGAGAGAGAGAGAAACATCAATGATGAGAGAGAATCATTGATTGGCTGCCACCTGCATGCTCCCTACATGGGATCAAGCCCGCAACCCCGGCATGTGCCTTTAACTGGAATCGAACCTGGGGGCCCTTCAGTCTGCAGGCTGATACTCTATCCACTGAGTCAAACTACCTAGGGCTGGACATGAATTTTTTTGTGTGGGGGAGACACTATTCAACTCTGTGTAGTAGTATTATCTCCATTTTCCCAGAGGTAGAAATTGAGGCACAGAGAGGCTGAGTCAGTTGCCCAAGATCACACAGTTAGTGGGATTTGTTCACACAGCAGAGCCTGGATTTGAATTCTGAGCAAAATAATTAGAGACCTCATCTTCCTTACCCCCAAGCTATGCTGCTTTTCATATTAAATACACCTTGTGTGTGGGTTTTTTTTTTTATTACTTATTCCTCCAAGATCTTGACATTGTGGGGGACTTGAAAGAGGTGAGTTAAAGTAACCCTCCTCATCTCTTTTGAGCAAAGAGGCTGTGTTATGGGACAAGAGTGGGTCAGAGACCAAGTGCTGTGAGGTCAGGACAGGGTGGAGGTTGGGCCAGGTTCAGAGTCAAAGGCCTGGCATTTGGAGGTTGGACATTTGACCGTGGACGTAGAGGTGAGACGAGAGCGACTGTCTGCCTTTCCCCAGGCCACCCGTGACCTTGCCCAGTACGATGCAGCCCATCATGAAGAGTTCAAACGCTACGAGATGCTCAAGGAACATGAGAGACGCCGTTACCTGGAGTCGCTGGGAGAGGAGCAGCGAAAGGAGGCAGAGAGGAAGCTGGAAGAGCAACAGCGACGGCACCGAGAGCACCCCAAAGTCAATGTGCCTGTAAGGACCATCATTCGTACCCACCTTCCCCATCGTCCCCCCCACCCCCATGTCTAATTCCCTAAGTTCCATAAAGCAAGAATGTAGCTAAAAAACTACAACTCCCAGCAGACCCTGAGGCAAGAGTCCCTTTTAATGCACCTACCTCTGCCCAGGGGCTTCTGGGAGTTGTAGTTTTCTTGCTTGAGGGGAATGACTGAGAGATGGGAGCATAAAGGGTTCTCTAGCTTTATCCCATAGGACCTAGACTTCTGACTCATGAGCCCCTCGCTCTTACCTCCACAGGGCAGCCAAGCCCAGTTGAAGGAGGTGTGGGAGGAGCTGGATGGATTGGACCCCAACAGGTTTAACCCCAAGACCTTCTTCATACTGCATGGTAAGGTGGGGAGGGTGTCCTAAGACCCAGGCTGAATTCTGAGGCTCTGACCTTTGGAAATGAGGACCACAGGATTAAGAGCCTAGAATGACAATTTTTGGTAGCCTGGTCGGGGAAGGTTTTCTAGACCAGCATTGTCTAGTAGAACCTTCCACACCAATGGAAATACTCTATGTTCAAATGGTCTTTGTACAGCAGCCACCAGCCCCACGTGACCATGCAGCACTTGAAATGTGGCTCTTACAACGAAGGAATTGTGTCCTTAGAGTCCGGTAAATTTTTTAAGACTTGTGAGTCTGGTAAAACACACGTAACATAAAATTTCCCTTCTCAGCTATCTTTAAGTGTCCAGTTCAGTATGTTAAGTACATTCCCATTGCTGTGTAACTGGTCCTTGTGAAACCGAAACTCGAATCAACCGGAGGCCCGGTGCACGGATTTGTGCACCGTTGGGGCCCTCGGCCTGGCCTGTGGGGATCGGCGGAAACCGGCAGTCCAACATCCCCCGAGGGGTCCCAGAGTGCGAGAGGGCACTCTGCAAAGTTGCTGTCGCTTAGCAGCTCCTGCCTTGAGCTTATGCCCCCTGGTGGTAAGTGTGTGTCATAGCTACTGACCGGTCACTTAGCCTTTTATATATATAGATAACTTCCCATTACCCCTCCCTCCAGCTTCTGGCACCTTCTATTCTTATTTCTGTCTCTATGAATTTGACTACTCTAGCCACCTCAAATAAGTAAAATCACACAGTATTTGTCTTTTTGTGACATAATGTTGAGGAAATGAGATTTTAATTAGATGGTTATTGATTGGAATTAATTGGCCCATGTGGCTAGTGACTGCTGTGTTGGACCGCACAGTTCTAGAGAGTTGAGATTTGCACAAAGACCTCAGTGATTGAGGGGCTGTGGCTTGCAGAGATTTGCGGGAAGAGCATTGTAGGTGGAGGGAACAGCAAGCACAAGAAGAGTGAGCTTGGTCTATCCACGGTCACAGCCAGGATAAGGAATTTGGACTTCGTTGTGTCATGTGACGCCACAAAAAGGCTTTGAGCAGCGAACTGACACCCTCTGCCTTAAAGGTTGGCAGACTCTATCTGGCTGCTGTGTCAAGGACAGACTGTAGGTGTGAGGGCCAAAGCCAGGAGCCTAGTGAGATGCTGGTGGCTGGACTACCGGAAGGAAGGGTGATCAGTTTCTGGATTCATCTTGCAGGTCAAGCTAGTACGACTTGCAGATGGACCGGATTAGAGTTATGAAGGAACAAAGGGGTCAAGGGTGACTCCAAGGTATTTGGCCCGAGAAACTGGAAAAACTGAATGGAAAGAGCAAGCATGTTTGGCAGGGCAGATTGGGAACGGGGTTTCTGTTACATTAGAGACGGCTGGTAGACATGTGCATGGAGATGAAGAGTAGACAGTTGGATATTCAGGTGTGGAGGCCGCTTATGGATGGCATCGAAAGCTGAGGGACTGGAGGAAACATCTAAGAAAGTGCCAGCCAGGAGCACTCTCTTTGTGCCCTGGCCGTTGTGGCTCAGTTGGTTAGGGGTTATCCTGCACATCAAAAGGTTGCCAGTTCCATTCCCCAGTCAGGGCACATGCCTGTGTTGTGGGCTCAGTCCCCAGTAGGGGGCATGCAGGAGGCAGCTGATCAATGTCTTGCTCTCACATTGATGTTTCTCTCCCTCTCCCTTCCTCTCTCTAAAAATCAATATTTTTTTTTAAATAGCACTCTCTTTGTAATGATGGAAAATGCACCAGTCACATATGGCTATTCAGCATTTCACTTGTAGCAAGTAGGCTGACAAGCTGAATTTTTGTTTAAATTTTTATTTATTGAATTAAGAAAGAGAGAGAGAGAGAGAGAGAGAGAGAGAGAGAGAGAGAGAGAGAGAAACGCTGATTTGTTGTTCCACATATTTATGCATTCAATGGTTTCTGTGTGTGCCCTACCCAGGGATCAAACCCGCAACCTTGGCATATCAGGATGACGCTCTCACCAACTGAGCAACCCAGCCAGGGCAATAAACTGAAATTTTTATCTTATTTAATATTAATCTATTTAAACTTAACAGCCCATGTGGCTAGCGGCTCCCTTATTGAACAGATCTGAACACTAGACAGAGACGAGGCCCCGGGCCTGAGCCCGTGGATGTACCAAGGTGTAGAAGTCAAGGAGGACGAGGAAGCCAGCAAGGGAGAGAGGGGGAGCTGGAGAGGAGAGAATGATGTTCTGGAAACCACAGGCAGAGTCAAGTTAGACGTGGACTAAAAATTAACCACTGGTTTTGCAGGGTCAGGGGTTCCGGCCACCTCAGCAGGATGAGTGTGGGTGCTGACCTGAGTGAGCAGAGGAGGTGGAGCAGTGAGCATAGCCCATGCGCTGTATGAGCGGGATTGGCAGGGAACTGGAGTTGGCCCTGGCCTGGCTCTCTGGGAGGCAGAGGCCCCCGAAACCCCAAGATCCTGTGCACAGAGGGGTTGATCCTGGCCCATGTCACCAGGTGCTAGGGAACAAGGCATCCTGCATGACAGCGGTCCCAAGAACGGTCCCACCTTCATCTGCTCCATTCTTGGGACCCTGGTTAGAAGGGAATGGACTGTCCTAGCAGCAGGCCTGGGGGGCACTAACGCTGGAGGCCACCATTCTACCATTGGAGACTTGTTACCCGTCCTCTAAATAAAACAGATCCCGTATCAGCCCAGATTCCTTCTCCAGCCGGTCCCTCGGGGACCTGACCCACCCCATCCTCAGTCCCCTAAGATATGTGTCCTCTCCCCTCAGATATCAACAGTGACGGTGTCCTGGATGAGCAGGAGCTGGAGGCCCTCTTCACCAAGGAGGTGAGTGTCCGGGAAGCCCTGGCTGCCGGGGATGCCCAGATCAGCCACGTGGTCCTTCCTTAGCCCCCCCAGGAGGTAAGTTCAGGGAAAACTACAACTCCCAGCAGCCCCAGGGGCAAAGAGTTAAAAAAAAAAAAAAAGGCTGCCAAGAATGTCAGGGTGCCCCAAGGGCTAAGGGGCGTCAGCTTGGGTGGGGAGGTAGAGCGGCTTGGGAAAGAGGTTGCCCGGGACCTCAACCTGTCCCGCCTCCCGCTGGCCTCTGCAGCTGGAGAAGGTGTATGACCCGAAGAATGAGGAGGATGACATGCGGGAGATGGAGGAGGAGCGGCTGCGCATGCGGGAGCACGTGATGAAGAATGTGAGGGGGTACCCGGCCCTGGAGGGGGGCGGGGCGCGGGGGGGGGGGCCAGCTCTGTGGCTGACCCTTCCCTGGCTCCCAGGTGGACACCAACCAGGACCGCCTCGTGACCCTGGAGGAGTTCCTCGCGTCCACCCAGCGGAAGGACTTCGGGGACACCGGGGAGGGCTGGGAGGTAAGGACGCGGGTCCCCACCGTGTCTCTCCCAGCCCGAGGCCGCTGCTCGGGCCCCGCCTCCCACCCCGGGCGGGCCTCCCAGCCTCCCCGCCTCCTCCACTGACCACTGACGGGGTGGCCGGCGGCACTGGAGCCCCTGCTCACGCTCATCCTGTCCATCCGCAGACGGTGGAGATGCACCCCGCCTACACAGAGGAGGAGCTGAGGCGCTTCGAGGAGGAGCTGGCGGCCCGGGAGGCCCAGCTGAACGCCCAGGCGCAGCGCCTCAGCCAGGAGACCGAGGCTCTGGGGCGCTCCCAGGGCCGCCTGGAGGCCCAGAAGCGAGAGCTGCAGCAGGTGATGCCTCCAGCCGCTGCCCTCCAGCCCCTGGGCCTGGGCCTGGGCGCCCGGAAGCTGGGCAGCCTGTGGTCCCTGTGTAATCACCGATTGGTCCGCATATGGCGGCCGCCATCTTGAGTGAGGGCGGAAGTCCCGCCCTGAAGCCTCCGCGGCTGCCATGTTGGATAAGGGCAGGGGTGTGAGAGGGCGAAAGTGGGAAAAGCGGGGACAAGGGCAGGTTCCAGTAAGAGCTCAGTGGGCTTTTCTCTCCCAAGGTGCAACCCAGGCCATGACAAGGGAGGCTGCACGGGGTCGTTATTCAACCCAACTGTCAGTGAGGAAGAACTAAGCCCCATAGAGAAGGGACTATGAGCACTTGGCAGGATGGGGAGACTCACAGCCTCTTGCCTGTATCCCTCGCCCCTCCCCCCTCCACAGGCGGTTCTGCAAATGGAACAGAGGAAACAGCAGCAGCAGCAGCAGCAGCAGCAGCAGCAGCAAGGCCACAATGCCCCAGCCCCTGGCCCCGAGGGACAGCTCATGTTCCAGCCCCACAACACAGGTGCTGGCCCTGCACCCAGGTGGTGGGAGGGGCCAGGGCCTGGACGCCTGGGTCTGAGGGAGGAGGGGCTGGGGGCCTGGACTCCCGGGTCTGAGGGAGGAGGGCTGGGGCCTGGGCTCCTGGGTCTGAGGGAGGAGGGGCTGGGGGCCTGGGCTCCTGGGTCTGAGGGAGGAGGGGCTGGGGGCCTGGACCCCTGGGTCTGAGGGAGGAGGGGCTGGGGGCCTGGACCCCTGGGTCTGAGGGAGGAGGGGCTGGGGGCCTGGACCCCTGGGTCTGAGGGAGGAGGGGCTGGGGGCCTGGACCCCTGGGTCTGAGGGAGGAGGGTGGGGGTGTCTAGTGCTACCTTCCCTCCTTTCCTCTCTAGATGACGCTCCTGTCCCAGCTCCAGCCGGGGACCAGAAGGAAGCAGTTGCTTCAGAAAAGAAGGTCCCTGAACAGCCCCCGGAGCTGCCCCCGCTGGATGCCCAGCACCTGTGATCCTGCAGGAAGGTGGCATCTGGGCTCCTACGGACGCAGCTGCTGGGAGGACGGGGAAGCGTCACAATCCACCTCCTCTGAGGACAATACAGTGGCCTCCTAGGGAAGTGGGATGAGGCGGCCCTTCCCACTTTGCTACCCAGGCCCCTATCTGCTGCTTAGCTTCCAGCCTCCGGGTGTGTGGTCCCTGGTCTCTGTCCCCCTCCAGGGACCTGCTCCTGGTGTTCAGTGGGGGCACTCACAGGGTCAGCTAGCTTAGGGGCCTCCTCCCTCCCGGGGGGAGGGGTCCGCCGTGTCCCTGCCTTCATAGGTGGACCGGCCTCGCTGCTCCGGGTTGGGCCACTCCAGCATCCTGCATCCCACAGCTGCTGCTCTGGGCCCGTTTCTGCTGCTTTATGGGGCGTGGGTGGTCCCTCGAGACCTTTCTCTGCCTTTTGTGGGACCAGCGATGCCTTGAAGACTGTGTAGCCCACGGCTGGGCCGACTCCCTGACCCCTGGCTTTCAGCCTCCTCAGCCTTGGCCCCTCCCTGATGGCTTGGCCCTCGCCCCTCGCCCCTCGCCCACTCAGCCACAGGAGGGTCCCAGAGCTGACCCTGCCCAGGATCAGGTTCCCGCCCCTCAGCCTCCGTGGGAGGCCCAGGCCCTCCTTCCTGGCCTTATCTCACTGCTGTGTGGCCTGCTGTGTATCCCGCTCCATCCAAATACACTTCCTGGAACAAGCCCACGCCTCTGTCTTTGTACGAGCCGCGCCGTTCCCTCCGAAACCCCATCCACGCCACCTGCCAACTCCTCCTCATGCTTTAAGATTCAATTCAAGCTTCTCTGAGAGGCTGCCTCCGGGCATCTTTCTGTTCTCTCCTGATGAGTCCGCTGCCTACACACACACACACATGCGCACACACACACACACACACACATGCACACACACTCACACACACACACAGATACTTCATGGGATCCTTTCAGCCACAAGGACAGAAAACACAAACCTAGACTTACACAATAAGGAAAAGTGTACAGTCACCCAAACAAAAAGTCCCAAGGTCGGGTGGCTCCAAACCCTCAGGGAACCAGGGTCTCCCATCCGGCCCCGCCGTGGTCATGGGGGTGCTGCGCTCCTCTCGCCCCAAAGTGGCTGCAGCTGCTCCACATGTCACACCTGTCTTCCCCGACGGCCGATGGAGGAAGTTGACAGAGGCTACCCGCCCCGCCCATTCCCCTAGAGCTGCTGTGCCAACCAGCACCGGACCTGGGGTCGATAAAGGAGGCCCCGCTAGAGATTACCGGGAGGCCCATGGCCGCGGAGTCCCAGATCCTGGGCTGCCAAGGGAGGGCCTGGGAAGTCACATGTGCCACACCACCCGCCCCACCCCCCTTCGCTGAACTTGAATGACAATGATCTGCTTCTCTTGGAAAACAGAGCTGGACTCTGATGCAAGCGGAAGACAGGCTCACAGGGGTAGCGGCCCCAGCATTCCTTAAAGGACTGGATCATGCACACGCTGATGGGGCTCCTGGCCAGAAATTTGAGATCCGTTTTTAGGAACCTGGGCCTGGCTCCCATCCCTAAGGAGACCTGTCCAGCCCCCCACCATTTGCGATGCTTCGTTGGCAAGTGTCTCCCCCAATGGGCGCCAAAAGGAACGAGGAGAGGGAGGCGCCTGATGTCAGGTCACCCACGCACCCCAGAGGCCCTGCACACACCGGCCAGAAGGGAGCCCTCTGCCCTGGAGCAGCCCCACCCATCTCCGCCTCCTGCCCCACCTTTAATTCTAAGCTTAAAGTGCCAGAATCAGACCTCATGGGCCCTTTATGTTCATCTGAAAATGACTCCCTTTTTTTTTTTTTTTTTTTGATTTTTTACAGAGAGGAGGGGAGAGGGATAGAGTTAGAAACATCGATGAGAGAGAAACATCGATCAGCTGCCTCCTGCACACTCCCCACTGGGGATGTGCCCGCAACCAAGGTACATGCCCTTGACCGAAATCGAACCTGGGACCCTTCAGTCCGCAGGCTGACGCTCTATCCACTGAGCCAAACCAGTTAGGGCGAAAATGACTCCCTTTTGATCTCTGTGTGCAAAGGGTTTAACATGGCTGCTCTCTCACCCTGGCCGGCGTGGCTCAGTTGGTTAGAGCATCATGTGCACAAAAGGGTTGCGGGTTCGATCCCTGGTTGGGATGTGGACAGGAGGCAACCAACCCATGCTTGTCTCTCACATCCATGTTTCTCTCCCTCTCCCTCTCCCTCTCTAGAATCCATGAAAACCCTATCCTCATAGCCTCGGCTGGGGATTAAAATATATATATATATTTAAAAGAACACCTGCCAAAACACTGTGGTTTCTTTATTTTTAATTTTTTTCAATATATTTTATTGATTTCAGAGAGGAAGGGAGAGGGAAAGAGAGAGAGAAACAGGGCGGGGGGGAAAAAAAGGACACTTATGTAATACCCTTTGTAATACTTTAAGCGAAAAATAAAAAAATATTAAAAAAAAAATAAATAAAATGTTGAACCTTGAAAAAAAAAAAAAAAAAAAAAAAAAAGAGAGAGAGAAACATCAGTGATGAGAAAGAACCATCGATCGGCTGCCTCCTGCACGCCCCCCCACTGGGGGGTCGAGCCCACAACCCGGGCCTGTGCCCTTGACTGGAATCGAACCCGGGACTTTTCAGTCCACAGGCCGATGCTCTATCCACTGAGCCAAACCAGTGAGGGCGAACGTGGGTGTCTTTGGTGGGGACATCAGAAGGCAGACCACATAGGGTGCCTGTTCCCCCACCAGAGGGGGCAGGGAGTGGGCTCAGGTTCATCGCTGGGCCCCCAGCATCGCCCAGCACAGGGCCTGGTCAGGAGTAAGCCTGTCAACGGAGTGAATGAGTCACATCCACAATGGACGCCACAGCCAGAAGCTCACGGTGCCCCCTTTGCTCCTGCTGCTCCTCTGGAAACCCCTCAGGGCCCCCTCCCAGCCCGTGGTGGCTTCCCCCCTGCCTCCTTCCCCAGCCCCGGCTCCTATCTCCCTCCCTCACTCCTGCCTCCTTTCTTCTGCCACCCGGCCTTTTTCCACACCTACAACATCCCTGGGTCTTTCCCACCTCTGAGCCCTCACTCATGCTGTTCCCTCTGTCACTGTTCCCCACACCATCACCTCCATGAGGACACAGAAAGCATCTGTCTGGTTTCCGCCGTGTCCCTGGTAAATATTTGTGTTGCATTTGGCTCTTTCTGGAATTCCTGGCTGTGCGCTGTCTGGGGCAGGGCCTTCACCTCTCACCGTGATTTCAAACTCCCCCCCCCCCCCCAGGCCTCTAGATGGCATTACCAGCAGGTCCTGGAATGTGCTGGCTCACACGATAGGTGTCCAAGCTCAGACGGGGTACCTTCTAACATCATCCCTTAGCTTGTTTCGAAAAGAGAGCAAGGGGGCTCGGAAGCAGGCCTGTTTCTCGGACTCAGGCCCACAGAGCGGCCGGCTGAGGCCAGCCAGCAGCCCCGGCCGGTGGCGTGCGCGGACCCTTCGCCTCTAAGTCCTGCTCTGGGCCTGTGCCCTCTGTTAACCCCCGGCCTCTCACCCTGGGTCCCAGACACGCTGTCCCGGGCGTCATCCTGTGGTCTGCCTCCCAGGGAGAGAAGGTGCCCGGCCCTGCTGAGCAAGGCATTCCGGCCTCAGGTCGGTGATTTCCGTACTTAATTATGGAGTAAACCAGACACGGCGGACACGGTTCAGGACACGGTTCAGGACATGGTTCAGTGCGTGGGCTCTGGGGCCTGGCGGGCTGGGTTGCAACCGGATGCTCCCCTTTGTTTAATGTGTGACATTGGGCAAGACTCTTAAAAAAAAAAAATCTATTTTTATTGATTTCAGAGAGGAAGGGAGAGGAAGAGAGAGAAACATCAATGATGAGAGGGAATCATGGATCGGCTGCCTCCTGCACGTTGGACTGAGCCTGCAACCCCAGGCATGTGCCCTTGACCGGAATCGACCCTGGGACCCTTCGGTCTGCAGGCTGACACTCTATCCACTGAGCCAAACCAGCCAGGGCTGGGTATGACTCTTGACCCGTCTGTGTCTCAGTTTCTTCATCTGTGAAATGAGGCCAATAGCCTGACAGAGGGGGACTGAGAAGATGCTCTGAGCTCGTGTTCAGGAAGCCTTCAGAACAGAGGCAGGCTGCGGTAGGCCTGTATGAGAGCTTGAGGACCAGATCCACAGACAGGAAAATACACGGACAAGCGCAGAGAAGGTGCAGACACTCTTGGACACATTGCCTAGGTTTTCCAAGGCTTCTGATTGCTTTTCTTTTATATATTTCAGAGAGGATGGGAGACAGAGAGAGAGAGAGAAAAACATCAATGATGAGGGAGAATCATTGATCGGCTGCCTCCTGCACGCCCCCCACTGGGGATCGAGCCCGCAACCCAGGCATGTGCCCGGACTGGGAATAGAACCGTGACCTCCTGGTTTGTAGGCTGATGCTCAACCACTGAGCCACACAGGCCGGGCTGCTTTTCTTTCTTTCTTTCTTTCTTTCTTTCTTTCTTTCTTTCTTTCTTTCTTTCTTTCTTTCTTTCTTTCTTTCTTTCTTTCTTCCTTCCTTCCTTCCTTTCTTTCTTTCTTTCTTTCTTTCTTTCTTTCTTTCTTTTCTTTTTCTTTTTTGAGTGATTTGAGACAGAGAGAGAGAGAGAGAGAGAGAGAGAGAAACATCGACGTGAGAGAGAAACATTGGTTGGTTGCTTCCTCGAGGCGCCCTGACCTGGGCATGTGCCCTGACTGGGAATCTAACCGGTCACCTCTTGGTGTGCAGAGCGATGCTCCAACCCACTGAGCCACATCGGCCAGAGTAGGCATGTGCTTTTTATCCTGGAGATCTGAGATCCCATGTAAACAGTGTGGAGTTAGCGCATTCATTTTCCTCGCTCCGTGCCGTCTATTTGCCGTTGTTTTGTTACCGATGGCTGTTCCAAATTTTGATGACCACTCCCGACGCTGCAGTCCATGTCCTTGCACGTGTCTTCTCGGGCACAGCTCTGAGCGCTTCTCAGGGGTACAGATCTTCTGCCCGGGATGGAAATCGCTGGGCCAGGCCATGCCCTCATTTGAACCCTCACCCAAGGGTAATTTCCCATTGACTTTTAGGGAGAATGGAAGAGAGAGGGAAAACAGATATATATCGATGTGATAGAAACACAGCGATCGGTTGCCTCCTGCATGCGCCCTGACTGGGGCCCGGGCCAGGGAGGAGCCTGCGACCGAGGTACATGCCCTTGAGCAGAATCGAACCCGGGACCCTTCGGTCTGCAGGCCGACGCTCTAGCCAGTGAGCCAAACTGGCTAGGACCATACCCTCATTATACTTTACCAGATATTGCAAAATGACTTCTCTGGGTACACAAACTCACTGCCAGCAATTTAATTTTTTTAATTTTTGTTGTTTTGTTAATCTTCGCCTGAGGATATTTTCCCATTGATATTTAGAGAGAGGGAGAGACGGAGAGAAACATTGATGTGCGAGAAACACATCGATTGGTTGCCTCCTGCAGGTGCCCCGACCAGGGCCCGGGCCGCGGAGGAGCCTGCCACTCAGATACCTGCCCTTGACCGGAATTGAACCCGGGACCCTTTGGTCTGCAGGCCGACGCTCTAGCCACTGAGCCAAACCGGGCCTGCCAGCAATTTTAAATTGTAAGTTTTTATTTGAAATCGTTTTTAAGAAA